TAGAACCCATCATACCCCTGTTGTAGAGGGGACAGGGTATTTTCCATCCTCCTCTGACAACAGTTCTTCCTCCGAGGGTACACACCCTTCCACGGTTGGAGTTTGGCCCTCCGTGCCGCTCTTTACAGTCGAGGAGTTTGCCTCCGTCTGAGGAGCCCGTGAGGTGGAAGCTGGAGGATCTGTCTCCATTTTCTCCACCTTTTTAACTTGGTCTCTCCTTAGACCTGATACCGGTGTTGTCCCGTATCTCTAATAGAGGATATGTCCCTCTTTCTCTATTGCCTCCTTTTATTTGAGGTCAATTCCTATTGTGAGGACCTCACCATGACCCTCCTCCCTCGAGTTGATGACTCGCCAACTCGATGTCCTTGCATTGAAGTTCTGACCTTGGATAAAGCTCAGCAGGTAGGTGGTGTCTTTCCCCTTGCTCCTCGGCAGTAAGACCGTTATGGCCGCCCCTTTAGGGATATTTTCTCCCTTCACTACAACCAGTTTCGGCCCTTGCCAATTTTTAAGCTTAGGTGCGTTTTCCACCAACCAATTCGCCGATTCTTGAGATACACATTCTATGAGGATCATGCCCACCCGAAAGTGTATCCCCGCAAAACGCAGCTGACCCACATTTTGTAGATCGTTGTGTTGCGATCCGATCGCCACTACTTCGTCCAGTATAGCCTCTTCTAGAGACGTTTGCTGGTCGGTGGTCAGAGCAACCTCTGGGAAATCCTTTGGCAGCACCGCCATTTTCCCTTGTCCAGCAATAGCGGCAAAGCTGGATATGTCCCTGCTTGCCTCCCGGTGTTGGGCGGCTTTCCATCCTGGCTTTTTTCTCTCCCTACCGGAAAAGAGGTGAGAGGGTCTCGCTCCCTCTCTTGCCCTTTGATGGAGATGAGTCAGGTTGTTTCTTGGTTTCTTTACTCTCCCCTGTTCGGAGGAGTGTTTTCGCTTTTGCTTCCTCTGGAGCAAGTTCTTCGTGGGACAGTCGGAGGTATCTCCGTGCTTCTGTTCCGCTAACACCTACTATCAGAGGATCGTCTAGCCCGCTTGGTTGACCCAGGCCGGGTAGACGAAACGGTAGCTTATGTCGCTTATTGGGTCTAGAGGTAAGCTCCCGACCCTTGCTGGAGAAGGTGGTAGCTGGTAAACTCATCCATAGTTAAGTTAAAAACTATTAGAAACTTTTTTAGTGAAATATATAGATTGGTATGGACGTCATCTGATTTTTTTCTATCGTTGTCTGTCGAAATCTTATTTGAGAAAAGAAACAGAGTTAGAGATTGAGAGCTAGAAATTGTTTTAGTGATATTTGCAAAACTCGATAATTCGCAAACTGTTTGAGTTCAGTAACATTATGTGTATTAAAATTTTTCCTTAAAATTGAAGGAAGAATTGAAATATTTAATAATATACAAGGGCTTCTATATAAAAAATACAACCTAGTGTAAGCATTTAAAAACCCCCAAAAACTTTTGTCTTTAACTTCTTGCAGTACCTCGTATATTTTACCCAATAATCGACCGTTTCCATACATATCAGCGACCTGACGTTGATCAAATTTAATTTCAATATCCGCGTCGTATGAGAGGCGCCACCCTGTATGTTATGGAAATGCATATAAAAAAAACGTATATCAATACAATGCATCTTAATTTTAGCATGCTTATCTAATAAACATAGTGCTTCTAATTGTGATGGTGAAAGTGTTTGCATTTTTTTGCTTAACCAAATATACCCTTTATATGGAATATCACAATTACAACTCTTCTATGGAAAAGAAATTGACACTAAACGTATGGACGTTCTACGATTCCTCGGAGTATTATACTTTAACATGTATTGCATGTAAGGCAGAACAAAAAATTAGCAAAATTAACAAAATATTCTAACTTATTTCACATTTAAGGTTTCTTTGTGGCTGCTCTAGGCTGCGTCTACAATATCCTTAGCCAAAGCGTGTTTCTAACGTTAATGATTTTTATTTGCTCCCAGTTAGATAGTTTGCACGTATATGCTCGAAATTATGACACACTTGCTTCAGATAAAGATTCTGTAACTGATGTTTCAAAATCCCTTCGAAACTTTATCTTAAAACATAAAGAAATAATTAGGTAAGTATATATTTTTGAAGTGAAACTTCTTTACGCACTTTGAGAGTAAAAGTTCAAGGCTGTGACACACGGCCTGGAATGACAGCCGCGGGACGGCCGTGACGCGCGAGCTAGCAAGAGGAAAAGTGATAGCGGCAGTGTTACCACAGCTACCCGATTCGGTGTAGATCTGCCCCTTTGTAAAACAATTTAACCCCACTATTTTGTGATAATCTACCCCGATGAAAAATAAGCTTGTAGCAACACTGGGTTGTAGTCGATCTGTGCCCATACGCGGCTAAGAAAATCACTATAATAAACTTGATACTGTACCAACCTTGATGTGGTCATAAATATTTTCATTGATAGGTTTGTAGCTTTTGAATAATAACGGTCTAGGTAAAGCATCTAGCTCATTAGCCAGCTCAGAATTAGAATTTAGAGTTAGAACTCGCATTTTTATTGGAGGACACTGTCATATTTATTTCAAACCAATAGTCAACGAGAATATTCGTATAATTTAATAAAATTACTATAAATCGCTATAAATAATAAATTATTTCTAATTGAGCTGTAATTTCTGTATTATTAATCCGGTAAATGATGGAGATAAACAATTGTGATTGATTAAAATTTTATTTTAATATGAAACTTTTGTTAACAAGATTCTGAAAATTCGAATAATGAATTAAATAAAGACAAGACAAGTGACATCTCTCTAAAAAAGACAGCGATTTAAGTGACAATTTGGTTATGTAAAATTTAGAGTGACAATTTTGATTGTGCAAAAGAAATGCAACATATTCTATGAGTTCGCCTAACGATTAACTTTAGTTTAAAAATAAATCCCCAACATGAATAATGAACAAAACATTTAAACAAAAACAGACCACGCAGACTATACAAAATAAATTGTTGGTTAGTAGCCATTAGTAGTAGTCAGAGATATAGATGTAGTAGTATTTTTGTTTAATGGCCACAGCTGCCAGGCTATCCGGCCTAGTGATAGAATTATTGTTTTTCAATAAAAATTAAAAAAACATTATAAAATTATAAAGCTAGAATATTACAGTACGTCCGTTCTGTAGCTATGGGGTATCCGTGAGAGGGGAGGCGTCCCATCAATAAAAATTCGACAAATTTGCAAGTAGCCAATAAAATGAGTGGGCGGAGCGATTTGCGGTGACGTACTCGTCAAGTTGACGTATAAAATATGTTGCTGTTTATTTAAATGTTTTTTGTCCGCATTCCTTTCATAGACTCAAATCCAGTAGACATTTACAGTACAGTACGTCTGTCCGTTCTGTAGCTACGGGGTATCCGTGAGAGGGGAAATGATATTCTCTCGATGTTTTTCGTAAAAAATTAGACGACGCGTCCCATCAATAAAAATTCGACAAATTTGCAAGTAGCCAATAAAATGAGTGGGCGGAGCGATTTGCGGTGACGTAGTCGTCAAGTCGACGTATAAGATATATTGCTGTTTATTTAAATGTTTTTTGTCCGCATATCTTTCATAGACACAGATCCAGCAGACGAACTGTACGTCTGCTGGATCTGTATCTATGAAAGGAATGCGGACAAAAAACATTTAAATAAACAGCAATATATTTTATACGTCGATTTGACGAGTGCGTCACCACAAATCGCTCCGCCCACTCATTTTATTGGCTACTTGAAAATTTGTCGAATTTTTATTGATGGGACGCGTCGTTTATTTTTTTACGAGAAACATCGAGAGAATATCGTTTCCCCTCTCACGGATACCCCGTAGCTACAGAAAGGACAGACGTAATGTATACAGTTTTATATTAGCTCAATTTTTTTTTAAGTTTTATTAACTTAAAAAAACATTCATAAAAAATATATATCCTTCAAATCCTTCAATTTAATAGCTGTTAGTAAGAGCACAGATTATACAGATTATAATCTTTGTTTTTTCTTTATTGTTTTTCGTGGTTCCAATTTTCGGAATCGGGCACTAGTTAGGTTACTAGTTTGCGCACATAGCACGCCCACTTAGGGCTTCTAAAATTGTGCACAGCGCCTGACCAGCACAGTTATTAGAGAGATATCGGAAAACCGAATAGCGTCATCCAGTATTTACGCGTACCTTATCATGGTTACGACAGAGAAGGTTACGATATGCACGAGTCAATTTTTAACACAACACCCGCTAATAACGTTACCGCCTGACGTAATTTGCGGATGAATTACTCCAAGCGCTCTTTCTAAATAACCTCTGATAACGTTTAAAAATTGCTTAAATGGGCATGTGCGGGTATTTGACAACCGGAGCCGGCCGGCGAGATCTTTTATTTTAGGTTATGTTTGAATTGTTTTGAATTATTGCTTTAGTTTTATTAGGTCATTTGATATTTAAGTAGCTGGGATTAGTTTTAGTTAAATAAATATGGTCCAAAATATGGATTCCACCTCTTCCAATACTAAAGAACCTATAAAGAGTCTTAGGTTTACAGCAGATGACGACTTAGAGAATTTGTGCAAACACATTTTTTTTTGAATCAAAATAAGTTAATTATTAATTACACATAATTTACTTTTATAGGTACAAAAGTGCTTCGTTTGTCCGTTAGAGGGCACCAATAAAAAATAAAACCGAATGTTAGATTAATTTGAAAATGTGTTTACTTTTTTAAAGTTTGATACCATCTAGCGGACAAACGAAGCGCTTTTGTATAAAAGTAAATTGTGTCCAATGAACTTATTTTGATTCCAAAAATGCGTAATAACACTATGTCCACGTAATATATTATTTTTACACACACTGTATATTATTTTTTTTCTCCTGTTTTAGTTATGTCGAGGACCTGAATGAGGCTATTAGTAATTTATTGCTAATAGAATTTCTTCTTAATTCTTTAAATATAGCTGCTCTTATGGTACAAATATTGATGTTTGTAAGTATTAATAATAATATTGTACAATAAAACGGAAATTTTAGCTACTTAACTTTATTTAGGACCTTAAAGTATAGCCACAATTATTTAATATAATAATTTAATAATTAATTTATTTACATTGACAATAATATTAGTAAACGCATTGTTTTAGCCCGCTAATTTATTGGACCTCATATTTTGGGTGCTGTTTCTTGTAATGCTAATTAAACAACTATTTTTTTTGGCTTGGCACGGCAATGAAATTCAATTACTGGTAAGAAAGATAATAGAAAGAATAGATAATTACAAAAACCTACCACAATACACTAAAATACTATATTTTAAATGGTGCAACTAATATTTAAAAGCGGAATCATATTTGTTAATCTGACTGTAGCAGTTTCACCGATTTAGTATTACCGTTGATTGAAGCTGAAGATGCGCAACCTTTTGGGCGATTTCGTGGTACAAAACCTGTCCGAGATATAGCTGGCATTACCGTCAGCCTGTCCGAGAATTCCGAGATTTAGTTTAACTCTGCGTCGCTGCGCGCTGATCGTCGTTTACAGCGCAGCGGATAAAGAATACTCTACCGTAGTTTCTGTAAGTTCTGCTTTCAGTCGACAGAGTGAGTGGTTGCCGGAGACAGTAGTATTGCCAGAACTACTGATTAATCCGTAGATTTGCGGATCTTGGGTACAGAACCACAGTTTAAAGAATATAAATATATACAGTTGGCTCACTCTAAGGAATTCTATTGTTATTTTGACTTCAAAGGCGGCCCGTGACCCTTCGAGGTGACAAAAAATTTGTATGTTTACCGGGTGGAACGGAAGTGCTATTTTATCAGTCAGAACGCTGGCCGTATACGAGGGATCAACTAAAAATACTAAGGAATTTTAATATAGCAAATAGAAAAATAAAAATACAGTACTAGTTTTATTGATTGACAGTTTTAGGCGTCTTTAATAATTGATTCAATATTTATTTACTTTCTTCTTATTATTATTTAATAACATATCTCTATAGCAAATTCTAATACGGTTATGATATTGTTCTGGTGTATAATTTCCATATCTGTGGGATCCTATAAATCCTAAATCACTTTTCCAGGCTCCACACCTACAAGTTATTTTCCTTATCAGACTCTACTTATACATATTATGGTGAATACATTAATATTAAAATATTAGATATATTATTCTATCCTAATTCTTTGGAATATGGAATTGTCAATAGGGGAATTATTATTAATAATTATTATGGAAACCCCATATGAAAAATGTATTCTAAATAAATATAATAAGTTAATTTTTTTAATATACATAATAATATATTTGCATATTTCTTAAATTATAGCATGTTTTGCTTTATAGATGTTTGCATTTTACTTTAATTGCCAACCTGGAAAGCCCAAATTTTATAGTAAGGTAATAAAAGTACCTTTGCATACAACTTGTGTTGCCATTGTCAATTTTTTTGGAATTTTTTCTAAATTTTGTTATTATCATGAACAGTAATTATGACTATTAGTAGTTAATTGTGTAATAAATTTTAATGATTGATAAAATTTAGTAAAAACTGAAAAAAAATTGACAATGGCAAGACAAGTTGTATCCAAGTACTTTTTATTACCTTTTGATAAAAAGGTATATAATTCAAGTTAAATGCAAACAGCTAAAAAGCAAAACATGCTATAACTTAAGAAATATGCAAATATAATTTTAAAAAAATCGCGGTTATTCAATACATAAACGCGGATTTGTCATACAAAGGTATTTTTGTCAAACGTATTACAGCTATTACACATTTTAATATGGCAACACTGTCGCTTTCAGTTCTACACCGTCATCGATATGCCTTCGCTGGCCGAATTAGAGAAAATAAGTGTTTTATGCATTGGCCGCAGAGCGATTGGTGTCTCCACCGTACTGCATTTGAGACGTAAGTGTGCGAACACAGTGCAAGCAGGTTTGCCGCCTACTGGTAGTCAGCGCCAATCTGGGCACCTATTCTTGACATCGTTCGCAACTTTCCGTATACGCATCACGTGTATTGTTATAAACAGGGTATCCCAGAAATAAGTGCAAGTATTTTAAAGGGTGGTAGATCTCGATAAAAGAAACATATTTTCTCTGTATCGTGTTTCAAATAAGTCCAAAATAACGGAGTTATTTTATTTTAAAAATTTCAAAAAAAAAATGATTTTTTGCTAAAATTTTGAGAACCACTGGATCTTTTCTGGATTTTCTTTCTTGTAACTTTAGTCTACTACCTATGTTGCCATATTATCAAGAAATTATTTTTTTTAATAAAAACTAAAAAAAATTCCAAAAAAATTTTCAAAAAATTCCGAATTTTCTAAAAAAAATTATTCAGACAAAAACCTCATAGGCGTGTTTCTGGGGTTGAACTATACTACCAGTTAAGTTAAAATACTTGCACTTATTTCTGGGACACCCTGTATATGGGTACATCGTAGCGCCGCGTCGCGCCGCCTCGTGCTTATAACCTTGAGAAATTAAAGCGTGTTATCAAATCGGCTAGTTCACAGTGAAAGCAGGCAGGCACCGTCAACCAGCGTTCATCGGCGTTCTCGCTTTTACCGGAACGAAAATTTATTTATTTCTGCTTTTGGACGCGCCGACGCGCGACGGCGCACAGAGGGTATTAAGAACTAAAAGTTGGCCAAAATTATGTTTTATGATTTTTTTGCTTTTTTGCTAGTAATATTAATTATTAATTAGAGGAGAGGTTGCTAATATGGAACCCCATTTTGTTTTTCCTACACAATATTTTTTCCTCTACTCTGAAACCCTTTCCACCGATCAAATAGGGCCATTCTGTGCAAAACCAAGCAATTGGATGAGAATGCTAGAACATGGCTAGAACAAGAAAGTAATTTGTATATTATAGACGATATTTGAGCGAGGATGGGTGTTATAGGGTAAATACTATTTCTTTTAAGAATCTATTTAAATCAATGTTTTTTTGGCAGTGGCAAATATTGGCAAGATTTTTTACATATTCCAAAGCTGGAGACTTTAAGCATTGAACGGATACTAATTTCCATGCGGAATATTGCCGCATAGTCTTACACCTTATAAAATGCCTCTGATTTTTTAAATATAAAAATTATAAAGAAATAGAATAGAAGGAAACGTTTCAAAAAAAAAAAATATGGCATAAAACAGGACTTGCCAGCTGGCTCTGTATCCATGATGACAGTTATTATAAACAATTTGCAAAAGCACTACAAACAATTCCACTATTTTATAATCTTAGAAATATTCAGAATACACTCAAGATAATTCATACTTATAATTGAAATATATTATTTATTTGATAGTCAACTAACAACTTAAAAAAACTAATAAACGCGCTTACATTTAGTATTTATAGATTTGTATTCAGTTAAGCTATTCTTGACCACATATCGCTCACATCTCGCATCTCCGAAAAATCCATATAACAATACACGTGATGCGTAACTTTGCGTATATGCCGTGTATTGTTATATGGCTTTTTCGGAGATACGAGCAGGGTTCGGAAGTAGTTAATTAAGAGGAAATTTACCTGATTAACTAACCTAACCTAACCATATCCAAACGCCGCTCCCGCCGCGCCGGCCCCGCACATAGGGGTATTTGGTCTATAAACCTGGCCAAAAGTGAAATATTTTTATTTTTATTTTTTATCTTAACTGAATACAAATCTATAAATACTAAATGTAAGCGCGTTTATTAGCTTTTTTTAAGTCGTAAGTTGACTATCAAATAAATAATATATTTCAATTATAAGTATGAATTATCTTGAGTGTATTCTGAAAATTTCTAAGATTATAAAATAGTGGAATTGTTTGTAGTGCTTTTTACAAATTGTTTATAATAACTGTCATGATGGATACAGAGCCAGCTGGCAAGTCCTGTTTTATGCCATATTTTTATTTTGAAACGTTTCCTTCTATTCTATTTCTTTATAATGTTTTATATTTAAAAAATCAGAGGCATTTTTATAAGGTGTAAGACTATTCGGCAATATTCCGCATGGAAATTAGTATCCGTTCAGTGCTTAAAGTCTCCAGCTTTGGAATATGTACAAAATTCTTGCCAATATTTGCCACTGCCAAAAAAAAAAACATTGATTTAAATAGATTCTTAAACGAAATAGTCTTTACCCTATAACCCCCATCCTCGCTCAAATATCGTCTATAATATACAAATTACTTTCTTGTTCTAGCATCCTCATCCAATTGCTTGGTTTTGCACAGAATGCACCCTCTCCTCTAATAATTTGATCGGTGGAAAGGGTTTCAGAGTAGAGGAAAAAATATTGTGTAGGACAACAAAATGGGGTTCCATATTAGCACCCCCTCCTCTAATAATTAATATTACTAGCAAAAAAGCATAAATATCATAAAACATAATTTTGGCCAACTTTTAGTTCTTAATACCCTCTGTGCGCCGTCGGCGCCTGCAAAAGCAGAAATAAATAAATTTTCGTTCCTGTAAAAGCGAGAACGCCGATGAACGCTGGTTGACGGCTCCTACCTGCTTTCACTGTGAACTAGCCGATTTGATAACACGCTTTAATTTTTCAAGGTTATAAGCGCGAGGCGGCGCGGCGCCGGCGCGGCGCTACTATGTAACCATATACAGGGTGTCCCAGAAATACGTGCAAGTATTTTAACTTAACTGGTAGTATAGTTCAACCCCAGAAACACGCCTATGAGGTTTTTTTCTAAATATTTTTTTTTGAAAATTCGGAATTTTGTGAAAATATTTTTGGAATTTTTTTACAATTCTTTTTAGTTTTTATTTAAAAAAATAATTTCTTGATAATATGGCAACATAGGTAGTAGATTAAATTTATAAGAAAGAAAATCCAGAAAAGATCCAGTGGTTCTCAAACAAATCTCGAAGTATTAGAAAGAATATGCAAGGACCAAGAACTATTGACTACAATAAAACGACGGAAAGCAACATATTTTGGTCATATTTTTCGAAATAATAAATATAGTTTCCTACAGCTGATCGTTGAGGGAAAGATTGAAGGACGACGAGGCATCGGGCGTAAACGGTTTTCCTGCATGCGGAATTTGCGCCAGTGGTTTAATATAGGAGAGGCAAGTGCAATTATCCGTTTGGCTCAAGACAGGAGGAATTCCAATTGATGGTCGCCAACCTCCGATGAGGAGAAGGCACATGAAGAAGGTTCTCAAAATTTGAGCAAAAAATCATTTTTTTGAAATTTTTCAAAGTAAAATAACTCCGTTATTTTGGACTTATTTGAAAAACGATAAAGAGAAAATATGTTTCTTTTATCGAGATCTACCACCCTTTAAAATACTTGCACTTATTTCTGGGATAGCCTGTTTATAACAATACACGTGATGCGTATACGCAAAGTTGCGAACGATGTCAAGAATAGGTACCCAGATTGGCGCTGGCTACCAGTAAGCGGCAAACCTGCTTGCACTGTGTTCGCACACTAAGGGTCAATCAAACCAGCCTTGTCACGAATTCGCCCATTAGGTTGCGTATCTTCCCTATTCTTTCACTCAGCGTTCTTACGTTCGTTATTCGTTTTGGTATATTTTGTGATAGAAATGCATAATTTTTCAGTGGGATGTTCTAAAGCTTATTGTTTTTAGAGTACGGGTATTTCAGATGCGTTATATGAAAGTAATTGGAATAAGCAACCCAATGCGGTTAGGCAAATTATTCTGATTATAATGATGAGAGTTCAAAGGCCTTTAAATATTTATATTGGACCATTCTATCCTATAACAATTGGCACTGCTCTAGGGGTAAGTAATCCATTATGGTATTTCAGTGTTACGTTAATATACTAAATAGTTTATTAAAAACTTATTGAAATAAGAAACTAAAAAAAATAAATATATACAGTGATCTTTTACAAAAAATGCTATTTTTATTTTTTGATTTTCTTCTCCAGGGGCGAAATAATCTCAGCTATTTTTCACTCTTATTTATCTTACTTATACCTATATCGTATTTTTAGACAATGAAAGCAGCTTATTCATATGTCACGATGATTGTTGGCATGGACAGCCAAAAATCTTAACTACAAAAGAAGCAAAAGATGGCAAATTAAATATTGCAAAACCAAGAGGCAAAGAGTTGAACATAATAAATTATCACACCAATTATCACACAAAAAGATGTTCAATCACATTTTTATCGTATTTATGTAGTAAAAGCATACACATATGCCCACTATGTTACTCAATTCACTAAAATCATCTACTCTTGGTTATTTTGCATCATATATTTTCACAAACAAAAGAATCTGTTATTAATATAGTTTCAAGATGCTACATAATATTATTAGCAATATTGTAGATTAGTCAGACTGTTTTATGATGAATGCAGTTGTATTAGTCACAATTAATTAAATGAAAATAAAAAATTTAAATTAATAAATTATTTATTCAATGTTAATTTGTTCTGAGAAAACTATTTTTAAGAATATGAACTGAAGATATGTTTTTTCAAATGAAACACCCTGTATATTTATAAATAATTTAATATTCGCTTTGTCCCCCCCCCCACCGTGAGCTTCTTAAAATTATATATCACTCTATATTTATTTTCACTATTTACTGCAATATTTAAAAGATCATTTCCTTATTAGTAGGCCGTGAAAGAACAAAAAAATGAAAATGGTATTTACTAAAATAATAATAATTTGGGACTGAAATATTTTACTTTTAAACTGTTACCACTGAATCTCTGAATATGTTTTTTTTATATAACGAGATGGGTTTGCAAATATCTAAAAGCTTGCCTGATGACATTGTTTTAGTTGCCACGATATATTTCAAAAATACCTAAATAAAAAAAGCACACATTGAAATCGAGAACGGACAAATCCGGCGATCAGGGAGGCCATCGTATATGGGTCCATTGGTCCCAATTACTTTGGTTTCCTTGATATAGTACATACAATAAATTCTTTATATTATAAGGAATTTATTGTATGTTCAAAAAATTCAATCAATTCAAAATATGTCAATAAATTCTTTATATTATAAGGAATTTATTGTATGTTCTATATATAGATATTATACTATTTATTGTACGTACTATATATACCCGTATATTATTTTGGCTCTCGAAATAAAACAGAAGACAGATAGCGGCATACTATAGACGTGAGCATACTTTTAATAATTCTTTAGTTTCTTTTATTATCAATCATGGCCTACTAACAAAAATAATCTTTTAATCAAAACTTTTAAATATTGCAGTAAATAGTGAAAATAAATTTATTTATTTATTATTGAAAACAACTTAACATAAACATAGATCATTTACAGTTGCGTTTAACTAAACTAAATTAACACCACCCATTTATGGGTGCTACTTTTTTCTTTGTTTTCTTAAATGGAACACCCTGTATATTATTTTTTTATTAGATGGAGAATTAAAAAATTAACATTTTTTGCATTTAAAGTATTTTAATATTCTTAATGGTTTCGCTGATACACGCAGTATTATTTCATATGGCTTTCTCAACGGTAAAATACGAGAGAAAAATCATTGGGTGGCTTGGTTTATATTCCATAAAATTATTATGGAAAATGCCATATGAAATATAAAACCGCGAATATCTGCGAAACCGCTAAAAATTTTGAAATACTCTGAATACGAAAATTGTTCATTTTTTAATTCTCCATCTATTGAAAAAATAATACGAAGAATGAATACGAATACTATTGAAAAAATAAAAAACGAAGAAAAATTATTTTATATTTTAGAAAATTTGGCGTAAAATTTTGAACAACCTGTATGATTTAAGATTACTATATTTATAGCATAGTAAGTACAGACCATCTAAACTAAATACCTAATATAGTTTTGATTTCAGGACAGGTCTTGTATTTTTAATATTTTTTTTTTAAGCAAGGCTGTAAAATATATATTTTTTATTTATTTATTAATATCTCTAAAACTATCGAAATATATTTACTTATATCTTAGGATTATGCAAAGTGATCTGAAAAGAAGCCAAAAATGCAATAATATACGGGGTGTTCCATTTAAAAAAAATCACTCCGATCCACTCACATTTTTTTGAGCCACCCTATAGCAGTTAAAATATTTTCCTGAAATCCTAGAACATACTTCAGATTTGCACTTAAACAAAATTATATTTTATTCTAGGAGCTACAGATGCCCGACGCACTGTAGCACTGTAGCTATAGCATGCTTTAAAAAAAACTTAAAAACTAAACAACTGATTTTTATTAACTTTTTTTTAACTGTTAAGCTGTAATGTACATCTAATTATATTACCTAGTACAATATTTAAATATTAAAATCACAATCGCAATTTTGCTCATCTCTAATACATCTTAATACTACCCCAGTCAAAATAAACAAAAAAAAGGGGGTTAAATAACAATAATTCACATAGAGCTGAAAATTGGTACAAGTCTTAAATACACTATTATAAATGATATCTGAAAAGTCCCTATCGCTCCCACGTCTGCTAAAAAAATTATTTAAGGTTAAAGGTCAAAAATATGTTTTTTGCTTTTTTTTCTCCTAAACGGTAAGCGCTATCGCAAAAGTACCTTAAGTAAATGTTGTAGACCATTAAATTTTCTACAATAATGGTTCTTATACTTTTTTCTTACCAACTACCATTCCTGAGATATGGCGATTTCAAACATCGAAATTACTAATATGCACACATACTCGGCCGGTATATATCATAAGAGGCTCAATTTAATAAAAATATTGTAACGGGTTTCGCCCATATAAATTGAAACACGTAATGATTTAATTGATTGCGCAGACGTATTCAAAAAGATTGACTTTTCTCCACAAGTGGAATTCACTTGCTTCTTGCTATATATGGTGCTCCAAAAAAAAATGATTCTATAGACAAGTATAGAGATATTTAAGTTTTGTTAAAAATACTCGGAACAATAAAATGGTACAACTTTCTTGTCTTCCTCCTGCTTCTGCCTGTCAACACTTATATCGTGTATACTATCAAGTTCAATTGTGGTTAGGTAATCAACTGAACCCAGAAGACTGGGGTTGGAAATATATATAGATACTACTTTGGAGCCGATTAAAACTTTACTTCCCCCTGCTCCAGAAAAACTACTTAACACAATTTTTTGCAATTTGCAGCGCAAACTGTGGTTGTAAAAGAGTCGGATTGTTTTGTACACCAATATGTACTAATTGTCAAGATCAGTCTTGCTCCAATATTGACTTAAATACAGATAAGGATTTTAGTGAGAAGACAACTGATGGCATCTGTCATAGATGGATTTCCAGATATTCCGCAAGAAGATGAGAGAGAAGAAAGCGAAGAAGACATTACTGTTGAAGTATCATTTGAAGATTACCACTCACATTAAAATTCTCCCAAAATCAACAACAATCCGTTCGACTATAATCATTACCAAGAGCACCGTTTTTTTTAAATTAATAGTATAATGTGTAATAAAACTTAACCACAATAGATCGTGGACTAGGTCTATAGGGGGAACCAACGTGTCAAGTACACTACCTCACAGGTGGTGCGGAAATGTGTGTATATTATGAAAAATACGAGTTTTTCAACTTTTGAAATCGCCATATCTCAGGAATGGTGGTTCGTAAAAAAAAGTATAAGAACCATTGTTGTGGAAAATTTAATGGTCTACAACATTTGTTTAAGGTACTTTTGCGATAGCGCTTACCGTTTAGGGAAATAAGCAAAAAAAAATATTTTTGACTTTTGACCTTAAATATTTTTTTTAGCAGACGTGGGAGAGGTGGGGATTTTTCAGATATTATTTATATTAGTTTATTTAAGACCTGTACCAATTTTCAGCTCTATGCGAATTATTGTTAATTGAAATGTCTATTTTGACTGGGATAACATACTTTAGGTCTACACTTAGACAAAATTCCTAAGTTTTTATTATAGGAGCTACAGATGCCCGACGCACTATTGCCGAACCCTGTATGTGAGGTGTGTATGAGAGGAACAGCAAAATATAATCCGTCCTGTATATGCACTGAAATACATTATAATTAAAACGAGAAGATACTAATTTCATAACGACGATGAGCATATTGATAAACAAAAACATCGCAACGTTGTAATTTCACGCACAAGTTAGGGAAAATGTTCCGTGACTATTTTTATAGTAATTTAACTAATTACGCAGTCCCTAGATGAACTCTAAGCATTAATCGCATTATACGTTTTTTATCGAACATCTTTAAAAGCGGTTAGATATATACAGTTTTCAAGTGCCAGTCACAAAACAGAAAAAAGTCGAAATATGAAACAACCCACCTTCAAGAACTTGAGGTTCTATTTCAAAGAATACTGTCGTCACACCAGCATTCATGGATTCTTCTATTTGGGCGAAACGCGTAGTTACGGAGAAAGGTATGTAGTCTTTGATAAATGAGATAATAGATAGCAATTTAAAAAGTAAAGAATCGGGAATATCTCTATTATATAGAGAAAATGGTATCAAGAAGGTCTGAAATCCATATCGGATGATTGAAGAAGAACCAAAATAAAATCTACCTTGTGTGATACATAGTTAAAAAGTACCTTGTTTTTGCTTAACAGTGAGAGAACAAAAGTAGTCACGGTAATACCTGTTCCACATGAGTTACTTTAGCAACTTTAGCAAACTATCGCGTTTTTGTAACGGTGATACGTGTGGTACACGGTCAAGTTGGCCTTGATTCAATCTATCGATATACCAAATTTCATTACATTCAAGTACATTCCGAGTTTCAACCCCCTAGCTCACATAGGGCTCGAGTTACGACGCGACGACGACGCTTCAAAGACCCATTAAATCGGACGATATTTTCGCCATTGATGATAGGGTTTCATAGTGCACAAAACGCCGTCAAAATATCAGGAAAAGTAAAGTAAAGATTTCAAGTTAACGTCTCCTTTTTTCTGCCAGAGCTAATCTGGACGGGTCCTACTTTGTCATGTACAGGGTGTTCCACTAAGAATAGCTCTGGCTGTATCTCGGAAAGTATTAGCCGTAGGGCTTACAGAAAAAAATATTTATAACTAAAGAGGCTATGAGAAATTGCTGGAAATTATTTTCAAGTTTGTAAAACGGCCGCTAGGGGGCGCCACTACTATGGACTAAGTACTATAAATAATAGCTTCAGAATCTTCAGTAAATTTTGGATTTATTTTGTTAGAACCATTTTCCCCTATCTGCTAAAATAAAGTGGTGGGGCAAGGTTAGATCTATCTTTATTTAAATGTTAATAACTCCAGACTGGATGATCAGAATCCAATAAACGAGGGCTCGTTTAAAAGAGCGTTTCTTACTCTATATTATACCATAAAAATAATAATAATAAGGTTTTGAACGTAGACGCTAGGGGGCTCTTTCTTACAATTTAACAAACATAGTGCGTTTTTTCAAAAAATAAATAAATACGATAGCAGAGGCGGATACAGAGGGGGGGCCCATGGGGCCCGGGCCCCCCCCAAATTGCCAAAATCTGTAAATTGTGTTAAATATTAGGCTTTTCTGTTAAAAATGGCGCCCTAAAAAGCCTTTTATTTTGGGCCCCCCCTAAAATACATTCCTGTATCCGCCCCTGTATGATAGTATATGTAATTTTAGCTGATGGTAAAGAGTAGTAAAAGCTATCTTCTTTCAAACCGAAGATATTAGCAAAATTATAATAAATACTAAAATATAAGCCCTTAAGTACTTTATTTTTACAACGCGGTATAAGTAGCCCTCTTGATTATGCCCGTTCTAACAAAAAAATAAGATACAAAACAGTTAGTTTATTTTAAAATCGACGAAATACCAGAATACCATAATACATTAATATCTAATAACTAAGATATTAATAACAGTCAACAAGAAACGATGATTCAGTGAAGTCATGGTAGGCTTTGGAAAAAAGTTGCTTTTGACGTAATAGTATAAACGTCAAATTGTTATTAGATCAACATTTTGATAGTCTTAGCAGCGTTTTTTATCTTTTAATTGCTTTTTCAAAATGCCTTTATTATTTGAAGTAGTTGAAGTTGTCGGTTACCATCGCACGTAAAGAAGTTTTACTTCAAAAAATATTTTATTAGTAGTCTCAGATTAGCTGTTTGATAGCCCAAAAAGAGATATTTTTGGGTGTAACCTCTCGCTGCTATTGAGTTTCTAATGGTCACCTTCGAATTTTGTACTCCTTGTACAATAGTCGTTAATAGTCATTAATAAGAATCTACCTCATGTATCCATTGTCCTTTACTATACAGGGCGAGTCTTAAATAAGTACAAATATTTTTAAGGGTAGAATATTTCGACCCTATAAATTATTATATGGGAATTATGAGTTTTTTATCGCAAAACAAAATTTTTGAAAATTCGGAAGTTTTCGATAAAGACGAGGGGTGTCTCACTCGGGTAAAAAATGTACACGTACTGCCAAAATAATCTTTCACTGTCAAGCGACTGCCAATGACTACGAAGAAGACTGCCTATGACTGCCATGTAATTATTATAGGCGACTGCCATAAGACTGCCAGTGACTGCCAGCGACTGCCAAGAAAATGTACATATAATTCCAATAGTGAGACACCCCTCGGATAAAGATTTTGAAGAATATTTAATTTTTAGTTAAAAACATAATTTCTTGATAATATGACAACATAGGTAGTAGATTAAAATTAGAAGAAATAAAACACAGAAAAGATCCAGTGGTTCTCAAAATTTAAGCAAAACATCATTTTTTTTAAATTTTTGAAATAAAAGTCGGTTATTGTGGACCTATTTGAAAAACGGTAAAGAGAAAATATGTTTCTTTTATCGATATCTACCAGCCCTGAAAATATTTGCACTTATTTAGGACTCACCCTGTATAATAATTCTGAATAACATTAATAATGATTTTTTATAAAATTCCAAAAATATAGCATGCAAACAATAAAAATATATCTAGTTTATATTACAACGTGAACAAAATTATTAATAACCAGTAATTACTTAATATATCATTAAGATGAGTTACAATTATATGTATGTTAGGTTATATTGTGTAACTTTGTTCAGCTGATATTTTACACGCAATTTAAAAATGAAAAAACCGTTTTATTATGTTAGATCATACAATACATAAATTTGGACGCATATTTTTGACGTTTTATTATTGAAATATGAAATATTTCATATAAAAAATAGGCTTGTATCTTTCTTTCATAATTTTTATGAAAAACACAAATCACACAAATGTTTAATACCTCTTTCACACAAATGGTTAATACCTATGTAGCTAGATAGATAGTTATTAGACTGAAGTAATAATTTTGTATTTTTATGTTTCAATGGTTTAATAGAAACCCGACATCAATTTTCATCCAAATATCGATGTTAGTGCAGACATTATTTGGAAAAAATCGAAATAAAAATGAAACTTCTACATTTTAGAACTTTTTTTATTATTTTTATCTGTATAAACTATTAACAAAGTTTCTTGATTTAAATTTGGACCACCATGTATATTAGAAAATAAAAATTTTTATCGGACAAATATTGTTTCTTTCTTCAAGAAGATTCATTTGTATTAAATTACTTAAAATACAATTAATTTAACTATTTTTTTAAAGGTTTTCTATGCAGGAAGTGCTTTTAGTAAAAATCCTTTAAAAAGTGTAGGACTTGCCAGTGTCTCGCAGCAAGACCAAGATTGGACCCTGTAAGACCAAGATCAAGACTACTATTAGAGTGCAAGACCAAGACAAAGACCAAGCGATACTTGGTCGTGCATTTCCTCATCACTAAAATCTAGCGTTTTACCCTGTTTTAACTTTATGGGGTGATGACAACATTGCCAATACTGCAAATTGGAATTACGAATAACGAACGTGTGGTGAATGTTGGGATGACAATGTTGCATGTCTTGTGATCACGCAAGGTGCTATGTTTAGAATTATAATATGAATTATAAATGTGATTTATAATTCAATTAAATCACGCATAACTTGATAATTCGATTATTGAAATAATGCGATTTTTCCATCACTAGTTTAGAACAACAGAAAGATACAGAATTTGTATTACTAATGGAGAATTAAATTAACATAATATATCTTCTATTTTAGAATATGGTGGTTAATAATTTTCCTTACAACAATATGTATTTGTGGCTTCTTCATACGTGCAGATTATGTAAAATGGGACTCCAGTCCTGTTATAGTAAGTTTTGCCACAAAAGAAACACCAATTTACGAGATCCCCTTTCCTGCTATCACCATCTGCCCAGAAACGAAAGCAGATCGGCGGCTTCATAATTTTACAGAATTATTCATCAAAATAAGAAATAAAACGATTACAAAAGAGGAGTAAGTATATAGTTATTGTATGGAAAACGCTGACATAAAACAGTACAGTTTTAATTATTAATGAGCAAGAATGCCCTTGGTCCTGGTCTAATGGCTCCTCTATACCTTAGCTTACTTACTGCCATTACTCGCTGATGAGTATTTGACACGCATCAGAAGATGCAAGGCGTTTTCTTTTATGAGCTTTTCTGTGACTGAAAAGCCCGATACGTAATGTTATCTGTCTTCCGCACTTCAATCGCAATGACATTCAAAAATCTCATTAGGTACTTTGTTGCCTCTTTACTTTTTGGATGTCGTTGTTAACTGAGTTTACAATTCTTCTCCATTGCGTTCTATTGTGCGCTGCTTCCTCCCACTGATTCTGCATGCTTATCATGATTATCCCCTTTAAGTTTTCGTGAAAAATATCCTTGTACCTATTGTGTTGTCTAACCGACTTCCTTTTGCCGTCTACAAGCTCACCGTAAAGAAGAAATTTCGGTAAGTTTCCTTGCATCCTGCATACGTGACCAGCCCATCTAAAGCGAGATTTAGTAATCATGACTTCGGCGCTCTCGCAGCTAGCTTTTTCAAGGACCGATACGTTTGAAACATGGTGGTACTATTTGATTCTTAACAGTTGTTTAAGGTGTCTCTGTTGCAACTTGTTTAATATATTCGTGTGCCGGCGGTACGGCACCCAGATTTCGCTTCAATATAACATGGTGGGGATTATTATTGCTCGGTACACTGTGAATTTCATTTTTGTGCTCAAGTTATGATCAGGGGTGTCACCCCCAGTGCCGATTTTGTCGGGACAGTCCCGATTTTGATCCACAAGTACCGTAAAGTTAATTTCTTGAATTTAAAAACAGTTCTTTTCCACGAATTAATTAAAATCTTAGAAATTTTAGAATTAAAAAAAGTAGATATTGATACTTTGCTTAATGAATATTGTTGTGAACATACATTTAATATGGTGATATGTTATATGTATATTCTACAAATTGTATAAAACATTAATTTTACCCTTATACTACGGCTATGCCTAAAGAGTTTAAGATACGAAAAATACCATAGCTCCGCGCGCACTGAATAGGTATCGGCGAGAGCGAGCGACACGTAATTTTCAGTTTACGTTGAAATAAATGTAAGCCCGCGCACCGCATTAGATCGGTGCGCTCGGTTAGCTCGGTGCGCTCGGTGCGCTTCGAGCTAACGGCGGTACTCGCGCCATCAGCCGAAATCAGAGAATGCATGGGAGGGGGCGAATAGTCTACGCCGAGCGACTGTTTTTAGTGGAGCGGTTTTACATTAAACATGTCCGATGAATTATTAATCGAAAGTGTACGAGACCATATCATACTTAATATGCGGTTTTTTATAAAAATTTCTTACAAGCACGTAACCTATATTGTTTAATACACTTATTCAATAACTGAATTAGAAAACCTTCCGATTAAACCCATTTATTTCTCATCTCGTTTTGATTATCTCACATTATTTTGAAAATCGAATTTAAATATCGTCAAAAAACTTTAAATTAATATTAATTTAATATTATTTAATTTTTGATTTGTTTTGACGTTAGTAATAACAGCTGATAAATAGTCATCCTATGTTACTATGTTGATCACTCCGTAAAAGGTACAAATAGAGAAAATAATATTTATGTTTGAATAAAATATTTGTACATATATCTACCGTATGATAGAAAAAAACGGCGTCCAGTTGGATGGGAAATGACGATTGATGACATTTTCTATATAAATTTACATATAAAATGGCACCGACCTTCATTTCATGGTCATCGCTGATGCCGTTCCTTTTCGATAATACGGTACAATAAAAACTATTTATATATTTTCTTTTTTCAATTTTCTTTAACTTTTTTATTATATTTTAAGTTTTTAAAATCTTGGTTTTAAGTCAGTAGTGAATAAAACGAAACTTGTCTTTACATTTTGTTTAATGATTGACGTTTCGACTAATTTTAATTCGGTCTTCTTTAGAATCTATAATATACAATACAATTTTATCACTAACAATGTGTTTAATATATAATTTTTTCTTACCACAAACGTAGAAAATTATTTATACGTATATTATAGATTCTGAAGAAGACCGAATTAAAATTGGTCGAAACGTCAATAAAAACGTGAATAACTCAAAACATTTTTATATAACATACCTACTCTATTTATGGTTGGTATGATACCTGTTATTATACCTTTGAGTTTCGATGTTTAAAAAATAAAAAAAAATAATATTTAAAGTTTTTCTACAACCACTTGTTTTTTTTATTAAATTAGTTTTTTTAGTTGTATTGTAGTCATGTACAAGGAGGACAACTGTATTTTAAATATGATATTTAATTTAACGTTTTTCAAACAGGGTTCATTAGACTATATTTCTACTAGGTACATTATTTTGAAAAAAAAATTAAGAAAGTAACTACATCTACAACAGTAATTACTTCTATTTTTATGATAAATATTCATAAAAATAGAAGTAATTACTGTTGTAGATTCTTCGTTATATTGTAAACATTGAAATAACTGGAAGCTAAACTTTCTACCTGCTTATATTTAGAGCCAGTGTCTGACGATCTTTTTTTACGTATCGCGCCATATCAGTAGAACACAGAAACAGAATATCTCCCTTTTTGTCGGTCGCGCGTACACAATGCTTTTTGTTGGTTGTGAATAGCAACTTCGCTTTTTAGTTAACTCGAATATTTTAACATTTCTGAAACAATATTTTCTAATTGGTAAAACGTAAAAAATCGTTAGATTTGACAACTCTGTTGAAACTGGTCGTTCATCTGGCCGCAGCTAAAAACGCAATACATTCGGCCAGCCGACGACCAGGTCGCAACGATCTGAGTCGAGCAGAACAGTGAGTTCGAGCCCTAAGATTGCTGAATTTTTGTTAGTTAAAATTTATATTTTGTATTAAAAATTTAAAAATAAAAAGTAGTAACCAATTAGTAAGAATTTAATTATAAAAAAATAAATAATAACATTCCCAACACAAGTGGTGATACGAGTCAAATAGAGAACTACAACATTTGGTGGCAGCGACTACAAGATTGGTGACAACGGTGGTCCAACCCAGGATCACAACAATATTCGATAATAAAAACTTGCGTAAAGAAAATTTGCTAAAAAGGATATAACAATTATAGATAAAAAAATAAAGTATTTTTAAAACTAGAGTAAATTATATATTTTCATTGTTTAAGGTTGTTATTTATATATTTTCACGTATGATGTTGCAGTAGACAGACACTAAAAATAGATGTTCAGTTTAGCTCATTGGAACGGAACTTTAAATCCCATTCAATTTTAATATATCGCATATAAGAATTTTTGGATTTTATTAAAAATGACAAGGCTCTTATTATTACAGCAACAAAAAAAGTAAAAAAAAATCAATACAGTTGGGGGTTGGAACTTTTGGTGTTAGAACAGCAAAATAAAACACTAATTCACCGCAATACACTAAAACACTTTGTTTTTAACACTGGACGCTCGTTTCGCTAATCATCAATTGGAAGCTAACCATCAGGTTTCATCATATGCTGATGATGCTAAGCTGGTTAACGAAACGCGCGTTCAGTGTTAAAAGTAAAGTGTTTAATGGAAATTACCGCATTTGTAGGGTTTAAGTCCTTTTTATGCTTGATACTAAGTATGTTATATTTTAAAGTGTCTTGGTGTATTGTGAGGAATCAGTGTTTTATTTCACATCATCAATCAAACATATCAATTCAAAAAATATTCATTTAAAAATAATTAAATAAACTAATAAAGCCAATTATACAGGTTATACTGCTAAAACGTTTGATTTTGTTTAGGTTTTGTTCTAGTTGTTTTAGATTTAATTGATTGTTTACTAATTTTGTTTTCAACTTTTCATTTTTTATTTTTACATAATTTCTATAAATATCGAATAGTTTTTTTTTTAAGTTGACGCAAAAAGGGTAAAATATTGTTTCAAAATCCGATGGGCACATAAAATGTTACATTTAAGAAAAATGATTGTACTAGTGCTGTCCAGATTTTTTAAATACAAAAGGTGGCAACCCTGGTCATGATTGTAGAAAACCCAGTTTTTTAATTTCCAGAATTCTCTTGAGGCGCTGCTAATTCTGTGCTGAATTTCAGAGTCGTACTTTTCCGAAGTCAAACTGCCGAAGTAATAGAATTCCGCCACATATTCCAAAAGTTCTTCTTCAATTTTTATAGCATTGTTACGATTTTTCGGGAAAGTGCACATGATTTTAGTTTTATCAGTGTTCAGTTTAAGGCCCAAAGCCTCTTATGCCCAGGTATATGTGTTCAGCATTTCTAGTAGGGTTACTTTAACGTTTTTGTAACCAGAGCGCAGTTATCAGTGTATTGAAGTTCTGTAATGCCCTGAGTTTTTTTTTAATGTTGAACAGACCCCCGTCCGTCGTATACGTTGGCTAGTGATGGCGTCATGAAATAGGCGTCAGGGATGGCTAGATTCCAACGTATGGTCAGATTGCCAATCATTTTCTGACCAATACGTGCACCAGCATATTGGCCAACCTATAGGCCAACGTGTAGAGGGGCCAATACAGAAATAGCAAGCCCAAGACCAATACTAATACCAGCGTCAGATGTGCAAGACCAAGACAGGACAGTTCTAGAGTTTGCAAAAACAATAAAATAGCTATATTAATTCAAAACAAAATAAATGATCTTGTTTTTAAGGTTGCAGCAATTTGCTTTGATGAATATGGTATGTACATTAAACGTGTCCAGTCAATTAAAAGATTTGACAAATATTTTATACGAAAACCAGACTGATGTAGATGACGAAGATTATGAATACTACGATTACTCTACGGAGATAGAAGAAGAATTATTTAGCTTCCTTGATATGGTAATTGTACAATATTTTTCTTAACCACTTGGCTACAACTTTTTTTTCATTGTTATTAAAATAATACCCCAAAAAACATGTTATGTATAAAACTATATGGTAATTGTCATCTATCGTAATCTCCAAGTCAACTTGACGCTGTTTTTTCGGTGGGACACTTTTCAAACAATTTTTCAATATATAAAAATATAAACGTTTTCTGAGTTGGGTCGTAAATGAAGATTGCTGCTATTTTATGTGTAAACTTATATGGTAAATGTCATCGTTTATAGAGTATTTGTGTTGTAGGTAACTCCAAGATATTTCTTCTTGTTTTGCACTTGGATGAACGACGTGAAACTATGCAATAATTTTTTTCGACCAATCATTACAGACGCAGGCGTCTGTTACACCTTTAATATGTTGGACAAAACTGAAATATACGAAGATGCTGTGTAAGAAATTTTACTTACAATACTTAGAAAAATATCAGTTCTCAATTAGTCAAATACGGTTTATAATCAATATTTTATTTAGCGTTTCTCTACAAAGTTTTATATCTTTTTCTTCGACAGTTTTCTATAATTTATTAGAATTTATTGTTGGAAAATTTATTTTCAAAATAACAGAATTATAAGTATTATATAATATTTAAAAAAATATGCTATATTCAAATATCTTTGTTTGTCGATAGTGATGAGCTAGACTAGCTCTTAGTCGATGAGCTAGACTGATAATTCTTGGCCGTTTGTTGTCGAATGTGTATTCCTTCGCATCGATAAGGGATATCAAATTATTAATTTTTCCAAAGAAACGCAGTTTTTGCTAATCGCCATCGTATTTTTAATCAAAACCTAATTTTTACGTATTTAAAACCTTATTTTTAAGTATGAATAGGAGAATACTCTTTTCACAGGGTGCCTATCAAAAACTTGCCGCAAATATAGCGGGTTGCCACGGTTCAAAGTTTTTCCTACGGGTTCGGCAACAGTGCCGTCGGGCATCTGTACTCCTATAATAAAAAACTTAGGAATTTTGTATAAGTGCCAAACTAAAGTACATACTAGTATGTATTTCGGGAAAATATTTTAACTTTTACAGGGTGGCTCAAAAAAGTGAGAGTGGATCGGGATGATTTTTTTAAATAGAACATAAAACTACTTGTATATTTGCCTTGTATATTATTGCACTTTTGGTTTCCTTTCTAACCACTTTACATAATCCTGAGATATTATCAATTATGTTTTCATAGTTTCAGAGATATGAATAAATTATTAAAAAAAAGAAGTTTTTGCAGCCTTTTTTAAAAAAGTATTAAAAATACAAGAAATGTTCTGAAAAAAAACTATACTAAATATTTACTATTGTTGTAACAAAGGAATATTATACAGGGTGTTCTATTAAAAAAATACGAAAAAATGATTTTATATTTTAGAAAATTTGGCATAGAATTTTGACCACTCTCTATAGTTTAAGATATTTATACCAAAGTAAGTACAGGCCCACAATAGTAAATATTTAGCTGTTTTGTTAAATTAGAACATTTGTTGTATTTTTGATATTTTTTTAAAAAAGGCTGAAAGCGCTTCTTTTTTTATTTATTTATTAATATTTCTGAAACTATCGAAACATATTTAATAATATCTTAGGATTATGTAAAGTGATGAGGGCTAATGAGAGACTAATATAGAAGTATTTTTATGTTCCATTAAAAAAAATATCCCGATCCACTCACACTTTTTTGAGCCACCCTGTAGTAGTTAAAATATTTTCCTGAAATACATTCTAGTATATATTTCAGTTTGGCACTTATACAAAATTCTAAAGCTTTTTATTATAGGAGCTACAGATGGCCGACGCACATTCGCCGGGCCCGTAGGAAAAACTTTGAACCGTGGCAATCCCTATTTTTCAAGTTTTTGATAGGCACCCTGTAAAAATTGTATTCTCCTAAACATAAATATACGTAAAAATTAGGTTTTGATTAAAAATACGATGAGCGTAATAATCATGCATGTCCTGTACCATAAATATTATAAAGCACACAATGACTTTCGTTTTAGGGCACAGTACAATTTTTCCTTTAGCAGATTCCCACCTGGTGAAAAAACAAAATGGAAAATTGAAAACGGATATCCTCCAGATGACGATATAATCACTTATCCGCGGAGAGCCCTATTTTCTGGAGCAAAAAATTCATTTGATATTATATTGGCGGATGACATGGATAATGTTGATCATATATGTAATCCGTTTGACCATGGATTTAAGGTAAAGACGAATACTAGTAAAAGACAAGTAACGATCTGTCCAACGCAACGAGGAGGTTAATGACAATAAGAGTTGTCTGTCGTTTTAATTCATACGTAAATTGCATTTTCTGTCATTATTTCGATATCGTCTGACATCTTATGCTTTTACATAAGAGTCAGCAGGTATGGTCCCAGAGCTCGAGATTTTTTTAAGACCAGTGTTATTATACAAGGTCCAGCAATAGTGCATCAGGCTGTCCAGTGCATCCAGCAATAGTGCATCTGTAGCTCCCATAGTAAAAAAAACTTAGAAATTTAGTATAAGTGCAAGCCTAAAGTATGTCATCATCACCATTATCATCATTTTCAGCTTGTTCAACCATTTCCAATTATGGTGTAGCTTCCCTTACACATTTAGATACTCTCTTTGTAGTTGGCCCATTCTTGTCTATTGTTGGCTATGCGGTCCCAATTTATCCCTGCTAATTTCCTAATATCATGGTCCCATTTCAGGTTCGGTCTTCTTCTAGGTCTCTTAATTCCTCGTGGGTAACTGCTGTAATTTTGGTGGTCGATCTGTTGTCCGTCCTTCTCGCCAGGTGTCTGCCCATTGCCACTTGAGGGAGTTGACTCTGTGAATGACATCTATTATCTGGGTCTTTTGTCGTATCAACTCTATTATTTTACTGTCTCCCTTGGTTATTCGCAGCATATTTCGTTTTCTTATAATGTCCGTTTTAAGTGTCCATGCATAGGTTATGACTGGTAGTACACATTGGTCGAATATTTTCTTCTTTAAATAAAGTGCCATTCCAGATTTGAATATTATTGAGTTTCTTCAATAAGTACTCCATACTTAATTCTTCTGTTGATTTCTGGTAATAGAGATCCCGAGCTGTGTATTGGTTGTAGTTGTCCCAAATATGTACAGGGTATCTCATTTTGGTTGAAATCATATGATATCTCCATTATTAGTAAGGATAGGAGGATGCAGTTTGCACAATTCTTTCCCACTTTTTTGTCAAACGAAAGATGCTGTCAACAAAATTTTTATAGCGCTCTTCGTTTCTGAGCTACAGGGTCTTTTTAAAAATTTTCCAATTTGGGACACCCCCCTTATCTCTGTTATTATGAAAGGTATCAAGAAGGTGAAAACTGATGCTTGTAGAACTGTTTACGTAGAATACGGTGGCGTAGTCTGTTTAGTAAGTTTTTCTACGAAAAAAATATTTTTGAAAATATAAACTAAAGTTATGTTTTTTGAAATAGAACAAACACCCTGTATATTTATAAATCGTATGATCCGCCTTGCTATGAGCTTCTCTCTATTTACTGCAACATTTAAAATATATAATTTTCTTATTAGTAGGCCGTGATATATAACAAAAAAAAATCAAAATGTGGTATTTACTAAAATAGTAATACACATATTATAATTTTATTTGGGACTGAAATATTTTACTTTTAAACTGTTACCATTGAATCTCTAAATATATCTCTTTTTTATAATTGAATTTATTATAACAGAATGGGTTTGCAAATATCTTAAAGCTTGATCGTATTTTCCAGGTCTTCGACATTGTTGTAGTTGCCACGATATATTTCATCGAGAACGGACAAATCCAGGGCTCAGGAAGGCTACCGTATGGGTCCATTGGTCCCAATTCATTGATTTGGGAAATAGTCATTTAACAAAATTCTAATATTTTCAAAGTTGTGAGGGGGAACGCCATCTTGTTGAAACTATATTTCATGTAAATTATCTAAAGGGATATCTAAAAGTTCCGGTACGATAGCCTCCAAGATTTAAAAATAGCGGTAGAGAGTTAAGTTTTCCTGATATATAAAGAATTTATTAGAGGCTTCTAAAATAAAACAAGAGAAAAAAAAAACAACGCTTTATTGTACAAAAAGCCAAAACAGCTTCATCGACAAAGCATTCACAAAACAAAAAAGCACAAAAACAAATATGCAAATAATAAAAAAAATGTCATAGAGACCGATAGCCGCTCTCATAGCAGTATATTTTTAATAATTCTTTAGTTTTTTTTTACCTATTATCAATCATGGCCTACTAATAAAAATGATATTTTAATGAAAACTTTTAAATATTGCAGTGAATAGTGAAAATAAATATAGAGTAATATATATTTTTGAGAAGCATATGGCAGGCTAGATCAAATAATTTATAAATATACAGGGTGTTCCATTTAAGAAAACGTAACTTTAGTTCATATCTTCAAAAATATCGTTATTGTAGAATAACATACTACGCCACTGTATTCTACGTAAAAATTTCTATAACAAAGAGTTTTCACCATCTCGATACCTTTAACAATAACAAAGATCGGGGGTGTCCCAAATTGCAAAATTATCAAAAAGACGCTGTAGCTCAGAAACGAAGAGGGCTACGAAAATTTTGTTTACAGCATCTTCCGTTTGACAAAAAAGTGGAACAGGTTTGTGAAAACCGCATCCTTCTATCTTCACTAATAACGGTATGATTTCAACCAAAATGGGACAATACAAATGTACATTCTTTTACTATTTCAAGTTTTGTGTTATTTATTTGAATGTATTTTCTGTCCATTAGTTTTGTACATTACTTTAGTTTATATTACTTTGTACATTACTTTAGTTTTTGTTAAACTCATTGGCTATGAAATGAAGATTGCTGTCATTTTATAGGTAACATTATTTGGGGAATCTCATTAATGTTCATTTCCAAGCCCCCTAGACGTCTTTTTTCCATCATACGGTATATTTTTATAAATAAATATATTTCCTGCTTTTAGATAACCTTGCATATACCTATTCGAACACCCAGACCTAAGCAGGAATTTATTAGGGTACCCTTGAATGCTGAGGTTATTGCCGCTATTAAACCATCGATGATCACTACAACAAAAACCGTTGAGAATTTCAAACCCGAAAAGAGAGAATGCTATTTCGATAAAGATAGAAAATTGAAATATTTTAAGATATATACTCATAGAAATTGTTTATTGGAATGTTTGACGGAGTTCACGTACTGGTATTGTGACTGTGTGGATTTCTTTATGCCTAGTAAGTAAAAATTACAAAAATTTACAACATTACACCATAACTACTTTAAACACTCAACGCACGGTTTTTTTTATTATTTGCTGGTGATGCTAACATGGTAAACAAGACATGTGGGTCTAGAAATTTAAATAAATAAAGTTTTTTTTTGTTATATTGCGACTTGTGTAATTTAATCGTTTAAGCTAAGTTAGTAACTATAACCATAAAATAATAAATATAAGAAGAAGTTTCTGTCATGTGAAGTAAAATCCCTTTAATGTGAAGTCAATGTGAAATTATAAAAAAGGTGTGGCTTAGGTAACTAATATAATGGGCGGCTGTGACATTTATAACGTGAGTTTATTTTCCCAATAATATTTCTTTTAACATAGGTTTTAAAACGACACATATTAAGAGTTTGTGCCTGCTAAGTATTTCTGCGTCTCAAGCATGTCAGGCCATATCTGATTTATGGGCGTCCTGCGCTCCGTTTTAGGGGTAAAAGTATTCCTAGAAAAGCGTTCAAAATCGAACGATGATTGGTCGAAACAATTCTGTTTCGAAAAAGAAAGTTTGGGAATATTACCTAATGCAGAAAAATACACGTATTCCGACGCACAGTACAGTTTTGAGTGCGGTGGCGTGAATAGTGTGTCAGTTAAAGTAAAGTTAATTAGTTAGTTAGTGCAGTGATATAAGCAGAAAGCAGGGTGAGTACATCTCACTAAGTGTCGTAGTTTATTAATTAATTAGATCATGAATATTTTGATAAATATATTGATACGTTTTGTTAGATATCATTTGCGTACACATATTATTAAATATTACATTAAATAACTGCGCCGTATACATGCTAGGTCAAAATATAGAATATGAAAGTTAGATAGGGTTAGTAATTAAATAATGCGGCGGTATACCGATGCGGCAGCTACGTGAGCTTTGTTTAGATAGGCTATTGAATCTCTTTACTCTGTAGAGTCGGTGCTGTCTAGTCAGGAGGAGCGCAAGGATAGGCCCGTTAATGTTGCTTGGCAGGATCTGGGATCCCGTAATGTCATAGTAGCAGGGACGCGATTCCTCGTAATGTCGCAACGGTGTAGGGAGTAAAATCCTGGTTATCACCGGTTTTTATATTGTGCCTCTGGGCGTAACCAGATGCGGGAGCGGGACCCCGAGAGATTCAGCCGCTGTATCCGGGTCTTCTGGTTCGTCTAGACCGTGCCACGGGGGGGCGTGGACGGGGGCAAGACAGTACGTTAGTATTTGATGAGATAAGTAAATTTGTAATCAAGAGAGAGAGAGAGATTGGATAGTTCTTTTATAAAGTACCTAATTAGTTAATATGATAGCCACGTAAGCTTTAGGTGGATTAGTGAATTTCTGTTCTCAGTAGAGTTAGTACTGCTTAGCTTGAGGAAGCGCAAGGATAGGCCCGTTAATGTTGCTTGGCAGGATCTGGGATCCCGTAATGTCATAGTAGCAGGGACGCGAATCCTCGTAATGTCGCAACGTCGCACACGGCAGGGATCTGGGATTCCGTACGCCGTGTGACAACGGACATTATTATTATGTCTGGGACGGTACCTCCGGGTCTTCAGCGGCGGGAACAGGCCCCCAGGGTCCTCGAATCTCGGGATCGATATGTTGTGTTTATTCTGTTGCCCGTGCGGCTGATTACTCTGGAGTCCGCGCCATCAGGGGGTGCGTGGGCGGAAGGCCAAGCAGTGCATTTGCATAGATATGTTTGTAAATCTTGTATTGAGAGAGACAGAGATAAATTAGTCCATCTAGTAAGATAAATAGAAAATAAATAATAGGTAGTTAGGGCAAAACAATATCGGCATATAGCAGTTAAATAGGTCGGAATTATGAACTGGACACTTATCCTTACTTTTAATTGTGACAGGTATTAAAGTACGCCTCCGCTCAGGGTCAATGCTTCAGGGATTATTTGGTGAGTCTGTGATTTATTATTTATTTGTTTTCCTGACAATATAATACTTTGAAACATTTTAATTATCCTGTCACGAGTTATGGTTTTGTTAGTTGTTTAGATTGTTTATTATTTTATAAAGAAAGTAAACAAAAAAAAAATCTTACACATTTGACATGACAATTTCAATTTTATTAAATTTATTTCCGTTTTCGGTTTTCAATGGCGGGCTCTCCATTAGGTTTCAATGAGTTTAAGACTAATGAGATTTGACACTCACCCTGTATAAATAATTAAAATAATATAGACTAGGGAATGTCATTTTGATAATAGTGTTGTACTACTAAGGGCTAAACAAACGGTTAAAACAAAACAATGGGTTTTTATATGTAAATTTGTTTTTATATATAAACATCAACTGTCATGTTTTGACAGCAGGATGACGGGACGTCGTTGCAGCCACCCTAGTGTGGTTGCAACCATAAAATAATTAAACTAGAAAGAAGTGTCAACTCTGTGTTAAATCGTGGAAACACGATACGCCACCGAAAGCCTTCGTTGTCGTCTGGAGAACTAATTTTCCAATTGACAGCTTGACATCACAGAATAGATATCAACCAGAAACCTAACTGGAGCTGAAATCCGTGACGTTTCACGAATTGGGCCGCCATTTAATAGCGGTAGAACACAGAGACGTATTTAATAAATTTCCGTTGAATGTATACAGAGTTGTATTTATTTTTTTGTTGTAAATTGAAAAGTATAGAATTAATTAATATCATTCGGCAGTTAATAAAACTACTGCTTAAAACTTTAATAGGTGAGTTTGTTAAAGTTAAAAGTAAAGGCTAATTTGTTTAAGATGCTGTAATATTGGTTTAGTACAAATGTCCCAACATATTTTATGGAGTAATATTTTTAATGTAAAACTTATTGCCAGCGATAAAAAACACTGCATTAGTAAACCATTAGAGATATCGCGGTATAAAAATAGTTTATATTTTTAAACGATTTTATTTAACTTTACCATACCTTTGTTTGTTGCAAATCTGGCAGCAGCTTTATTGATCACTTCTATTATCCCAATTTTTCCGAAATGTTGCACACGTATTGAGTTCCGGTGACACTTTTATAATATTTTTGAAGAAAAAAAATCAAATTAGCGGATCCAATATGGCGGATTTTTTAATATAAGAAGAGATTTGCTTGAAATTTAAAACTTTGGGTTCTTTATAAGGACACTTGAGATACTTACCTTCAATTGGCCCGTTTTAAAACATCCTGTAAAGATAGGGTAGGTGTTCATTTAAGTTTCAAACGAAATAAATAAACAAGCTAACATCAGAATACTTAGGTATTTATTCATGCCTCCATATAATTAGTTTGTTTTTATTGGCTGTTCTATAATTAAGGTTTATCTTTTTTAATGTATAATACAATTTCATAAGCAGATATAATTTAGTTACATATTTTAGGGGAAAACTAGTACATGGATGTTTGAAATTAATTTGTTTGCATATTATATATATTTCTTTAATAAAATGTCTTGTCCCATATTCTTCATAATATTTACTAAAAACAAGTTTTAATGAAGAAACAAAAGATACAAAATTGTCATGTGACATCTGAAAATTGCCAAAAATATCTAAATTATTATTTTCACTCTTTATTATTTTCATAGGCACGTAAATGGCAAAACAACGATGTATCATCTAACTCACTGCGTGCCTTTGCATATTTGGTACATATATCCAGGGTTCGGAAAACTACATGTTACTTTTAAAAACTACATAAACTACATTACATGTAGTTAATGTAGTTTATGTAGAGGGTGTAGTTTATGTAACCTATGTATGTAACTTTCAAATATCAAAGGTTTGAGGTGAGGTTATAAGAAGTTGAAGCTTTAAAAACACATAATGTATTTAAGAAAACGGAAGAAATATGGCTTTAAGTATAATATTTTCATCATATTATCTCTATTGCACCTCATACAAAGAAAAATTATTCATAATATCAATACATAGTTTATTAACGTAGTTTTCATGTAGTTAATGAACACATAGTTTATTAACGTAGTTTTCATGTAGTTAATGAACTGGAAAAGACGTAGTTTTGAAGAAAAACTACACGTAGTTAATCAGGTAAATTACGTCTTAATTAACTACTTCCGAACCCTGCACATATCACATGAATGTATACTCAAACATTTTTTTATTAAATATCCACAAACGTATCGTAAAACATTTTGCGTCCTGGCGAAACATAACTCCGGCTTTTGCACATTCTTGAGGCACAAACTGAACCAGTACTCTTTGAAGTTATTATAAATAATGTACCTAGCACAACAAATATTTAATAACTATTCCAGACTATTCGCTCCGTTCAGTTATAAAACAACCCAAACTACAATATTCAATATTTACGAATGACGAACAGCTACTGCTCTCAGCAAAACGCAAAACATAAGTGAACTGCGAACGCCAGTGCGTTGACAGGTTCTACCGCTATTTTTAGGTTAGGCGATGTTTCCCGCGCAAACTCTAAAGATTGTCGCCCACTAGACCGCTGCGCGGCGCGGCGCTGGGAAGAGAATTTTTTCCGGCTGCGAAGGGACTGCGCCCACTATAGCGCGCTTTTGAAACGCGGCAACGCTATTTAGTTATAGTCGAAGTGTTTTTTACTTACTGTAGTTTAGTTTTTAAAGCAATGAGTTCAAGTACGGACGAAAGCGTATTTTTTGTGCTCTTCTAACAGAGGAAGAGGAAGAGGGGGTGAGGAAAAGTTTGGACTCATACGATTAACAAAAAAAGAAAGAAGTTTGGAGAATTTTACCATCTTTTTCCAGATTTAATAAAAGACAAAATCATTTTTTTCAGTATTACAAAATATAAAGGAAACATTTTACGCACTCCTCAATTGAGGGTTTTAGAAGAAAAAACACCGGGTATATCTACTCATCATATTTTTTCAGAAGAGACAAATTACTAATATTTTTGATAATTCTTATTTATTCTGATGTGTATATTAGTTATGTGGTCAAAAAAACCCTGATCTTTTTTATATATTTAGGTAATTAGAATTTAAA